GTTACCTAAGACCTCCTCTCTCTCTCTCTCTCTCGAATACCGATGTCTATTCCATCTTTGTGCTAATCGCGCATCGTTCGTTTTCTTCTTTTTTCTCTTCTCGTTCAAACGTTTATCGAATTATTGAGAGGTTCGAATTGGTTAATTTATCGTTGGTACGGTTACGGCGCGTAAGCCGCGTTCCTTCGGTACACGCGTACTATTCTGTTCGATGGTGGAAAGAACGTCTCACGGGACGGTTGAGGGGCAAGAGGGGCTCCTCGCTAGGACCGCCTATCTTCACTTCACAGACGACTTCACTTTGTTGACAGCACACGCTATACACAGTGGAAGAGCTATAATTCGAGATCGTAAAAACTATTTTCATTTACGTCAGGATAGTCGTCCAAGACTGGAAGCTGAAATATTTTCGAAATTATCTACACGCGCGTTATTTATTATCGTCTTAACTACTCGAATACGAGAAATATATATAATAAATTAAACTATTGTTACGAATGGTAATTTAGCGTACGTTCTGGATTAATATATCAAGCGACAAATAGCGCGATAGAAAGAAAAATAGGCGTTTCCTTCCAAATTAACCAATCGGATCTGCATTCCTTCCGAGAGACTTGTTTCCACCAGTGTGGAACAGAACAGACGTACGCGCGTTAGTCGATAAACTCGTTTGTTCGTTGGACGAGCGAATATACACGTATATTCCGACAACTAACCTCGCTCCCAGCCAAGTTTTCATAATTTATTCGAGTATTCACGATTTCCTCGCTCCTACTATTTTTCTTCGCGTTCTCGGCTCTGTTGACAGTAATTACTTTATCGAACAGACTAAACGCGAAACTAGCGATAAACGCAATTGCCTCTATTAAGTACTAACGATAGCCACCAGCCTCGTCTCGTCGTCGAGTATACCGTACGACTAAATTAATCGTGGAAAACGGTTCGAGATGGCGCGGCGAATGTTGCGCCAACTTGGTCAACATTCTATACTCGGATGATCGTTGTAATATCTCGCGGCACGAACGAGCTATTGTGGTCGACGGTATCGGGGACGACAGCGGCCCTTTAAAAGACACCGATTAATCTTCTTTTTCAACGACCACCACCTTTCTTGTTGTCGCCGACCGGTTAACCAGGGAGAGATGTCGGTCGGCTCGAAGGCCAACAGTTTCGAAGCAGCTGCGCAATTACGCGGATAATACACCGCTTTCGCCGGGAGGAAAAAAATTCTACTCGCTTACTGTTACGAGATCGAAACTCGTTTTCAAAATTTTCGACCGAGGAAGAGACAAAAAAGAAGAGAAATTTCTCCGTCGATTTGCCGCCGCTCGATCATCGTTTCGTTTTTGATCTTAAAATGAGTTCGACTCGGGCGAGGCGGGAAACGAAGGAAAAGAATGGGACGCGGTTTCTTTTGGTCGAAGGTCGGTCATCTTTCTGGCGCCAACTATATTTCGTCGTAATTCGTTCGAAGCACCCTTCGGCGAGTCTCTTTCGCCGACGTCCATGCCTTCCGTGGACACATCACATCGCCGGAAGGAAACTCTCGACAAGCCACTCGCCTCGCTTCCAGACCCTCTTTCTTGTCGCGCCTCGCCGTTACTAGACGACAGGATAGGAAGCAACTCGATAGGCTTCTAAAGATAGCCTTTTCTTTTCTTTTCTTTTCTTTTTTCCATAAAGCTTCTAAAAAGAAGGAAAACGAGCTTTTTCCCTTCAAAACGAGAGAAGAGAGGATCGAATCCGAGCGTGGGATAGCGCGTTTAATATTAAAAGTTCGCGTAAAGTTAACGGATCGTCCGATCGTTCGCCGCGTTACGTTATCGTTTTGAAACGTGGAGAATAGATGGAGAAGTAGTCTGTCCATAAATCACTCAAAGGGCAATCGAGATCACCCTGGGACCCGACGCAACGTACTCCTGCGTCGCGCTCTCCGTTCTTTTTTCTTCCCTCCTCTTCCTCGAGCGAGAAAGCGCTTTCTCATTCGACCGTAAAATTACCAACCATCGCTCGTTCCGTCGTCTCTTTACGACTCATTCTCGGAATATCCTCTTGCTTACTTTCAAAATAGTACGCGAGTTCGTCTTTTTCTTCTTTCTTTCTTTCTTTCTTTCTTTTTTCAAATTTCGTCGTTATTCCCTCCCTCCCT